TTTCGAAAGGAAGTTATAGAGGTTAGGATAATTTTATATATTTAGACCATGTGGGTCAAGAAACCACCTCTGCTGCATTTGCTCTTGACTTATTTTTAACCATTCATAGTTTTTTTTTTGTTTTTTGTTTTTTTTTTTACTTATTCTTATTGATTATTTAAATTCTTTTATTCTAGTTGTGGGTAGTGAACAAAGGTAGCATTATTGTAGAAAGTTGCTAGCGTGCAAACGTTGTATTAATATGAATGAGGGGGCATCACATTGGATTCCAATACTTTTATTTTAAACTCTAATTTCTTACAAATCCTATCCTATCCTATCATATCATATCCTATCCTATCCTATTCTATCCTATATATAATAAAGCTATATGGTATTGTGAAAATTAAATGGTGATAATCAATATTTAATTTTCACAAGACCATAATAATATTGTTATTGTGAAAATTAAATGTTGATAATCAATATTTAATTTTCACAAAACCATAATAATATTGTTAATTATAATAACAATAATAACAATAATAATAATAATAATGATAATAATTTCCACGGATAGTTTCTAATATATATATATATATATATATATATATATATATATATATATATTTATTTATTTATTTATTTATTTATTTATTTATTTATTTATTTATATTTCAATTTCTACTGGCAAATTATTGAGTGAACGATGGTCCACATAATTGTATGGATCATGAATATCAAATACATTTTTAATATATTAAAAATACATTATTTTTATATTGAAAGTACCTTACATACATATATAATGTACCCTTAGTATATTTAAAATATACTTTTTATTGCATGCAACCCCAAAGTTCATAAGTTTGAAATTAATATATGGCATAGCTAGGCGGCCTAATATTTAAGATTGTTGATGTGCATATTGAGGACTACGGAGACAAAGATGCGTTATTCGTGGATTAATCGGATACTATCCAACAACACTCTCCAACTTAATTGACGTGAAGTGGCTTAGTAACATTAAGATTATATTCTCGAATTATTAGTTCTCATCTTTTATTGATTACACACTTGATTCGATAGTATTTGGAAGAAAAAATCAATGTTCAAACTAAGATTGTGATTTTGGTCTTTAAAGGTCAATTGTATGTTGCTACATCTAGAGTTAGAAATCTCAAAGGTCTAAAAATTCTGATCCGTGGTGACTCTAAAATTGTAATTCAATTACTATTGTAGTTTACTAAGTTCTTAAAAATTTGTAATATTAAATACTATGTACTAAATTTTTAATATAGTTTAAGATTTGTAGTAATCACACATCTTAAATATTATTTTAATTGTAAATATATTTATGTTCATAATTTTATCATAGAAATTCACACATAATAATTATTAAATAACAAAAATTTTATATATGAATAAACCTCATATAGAGTATATTTTTATAACATATTTTCCGTGCATCGCACGGGACAAATACTAGTACTACATTATAATATAATCAGTAGATAATAGTATTAAAAAAAAAAAAAAACTTTAATTTTTCAGTATTTTTTTTCTCTACTTTTAATAGAGGTGGTCCATGAAAGTGAACAATAACACTTTGCTATAAAATTATCTCAGCAGTGTCAACTCTTTGGGCATGATTATTTATTTAGCATTTAATACATTAAGGGAACACCTGTTCTAAAAAGAAAAAAATAATAATAATAAGAACATTAAGGGAACACCTTGTTTTTTTTGCTCAATAATCCAAAATTCCTCATTGGGCTTAAACCCAAAGGTGAATGCCGAATGGGGTGGGGAAAAGGGGCAAATTATATTATGCACCGCGCGTCTTTTTTTTTAAATAAAAATTAACAGTGTTTATTTTCGCCGTTTCGCACCCTTTTGCAAAAAGTAAGTCTGTTATTCAGTGTCATTTTGTATACACTGCAGTTTCAGTTGAACACAACTACAGTTTCATTTCGATATAACTATAGTTTCATTCGATATTTATAGACTCAAATATGTGAAAATGTTATTTAATTTTATTTTATATACACTATAGTTTTATTAAAACACAAGTACATGATCATTTCGATATAATTACAGCTTCATTGTACAATATACACTCAAATATGTGAAATGTTATTCAGTTTCAGTTTATATACACTGCAGTTTCATTTCACTATAACTACAGTATCATTTTGATATAACTGCAATGTCAGTTTGGATATACTGTAGTGTCAGTTGGTGTTTAAAACACCAAACAAACGGACTCCGTTAACTCTAACGGCGGGCCGTTTCTTTAAGTAAAGAAACGGCGCCGTATATGGGCCGCGGTGCATAATCGATTATGCACCGCGGTCTATAATATAACAACTGGGGAAAAGGACCATGACAAAACAAAAACATTGACAAGGATAATATATTAGTTGGCATTATTATTTGTAAAAAAAAAAAAAAAAATCTATGTTAGTGTAAGTTTATAATTATTTATTTTTATTAATTATTCATCAATAAAATAATAATGCCATAAAATTATTAATGAAGTCATGCAAACGTGTACAAGTTTATGTACCTCTATAATATCTTTAAACAAATATTAATATAATTTGCACTTAATTTTAGTTCACAATATTTGATATTTTGCTTCAACATCTCTTTACCCAGAGACCAAAATGTAATTTTCACCATTTAACATGCACTGATTAGATAGATATTTAAAAAAAAAAAAAGCAAAAAGAAAGTTAATTATAACTATTGAAACTAATAATTATTTAATACATAACTAGTAATTCACCCGCGCGATGCACGAAAAAAAAAATTATGTTATTATAAATATAAATAAAAAATAGAAAAACTAAAATATTTTAAATTATTTAATATAATAATATTTTTGAGCTTTCATTGGTCAAGTATTTATTATTTTTATAGAATACAAAATTACAATTAAAATTAAAATTATAATTATAATTTTGTATGGTTAATATAATCTCTAATTATGTGCATATTCAAATAAACTTATAGAGAGAATTTACATAATTACATTGAATTATTCTTAATTGTATTTCATCTATATTATAATTTTCACAATACGAATAATAACTAAGATAATTACATTTGGAAAGCAAATTTCAAATTTTGTATGTGTAAATTTAAACTCTAATTGAACACATTTTTTATATGATTATATAATATATAGCTATTTTATTTTTCAAATGTATATTTTTTATATGATTATATAATATATAGCTATTTTATTTTTTAAATGTTGTGTTTTTTTTTTTATAATAAAGGATGTTGTGACATTAATTGTAACATTAATTATTTCCCAAACCATATAGCTTTATTATATAAAGGATAAGGAGAGTTTGTAACTTTGTATACATTTCATGAGTTTTATAAAATAGCAAATTATAATTTGAGTCATAAACTAATATTGTATTCTCATATTTAGTCTTACTTTTTAAATTTTGGCACATACTTGACTTTTATTTGTTTTTCACAATTAGTTTTTCATTCAAATTTATATCGGTATAAGATGGTTTAAATATGGCAAAATGGCCCCACGGGCATAGCTCAATGAGTTCTAGTATGTGTACTCTTAAATTATACTCCTTCACTTTTACTCCATTATGTGACAACCAATGATAGAACATTTTCTTCATCTGGATCCCAAGAAAATCGTGAGGAGTAAGAAGTCGGAGTCCATCTAGTATTTTCCATCTCAATAGTTTAAGGATTATCCTGAAGTCTTGGCAAGATAGGAGGTTCGGAAGACATGAGGAACATTGGTAGATTCTGCGCTCTTGGGCAGGGGTTCATATAGTCAATAATTAAAAGAGAATTCTTCCAAAATTTTAACTCTGTAACTAGTTGAGCTGCCCATGTGGGTAAAAAAATTATAAAACTTATAAAAAGCACTGATTTTTAAAGATTAAAATAATAAATATTATGGAGTGGAAAAGTTGGGCGTTACACACGGACATATATGTGGTGATGATGATTGTGGGCAACGGCTATATTAGCGGCTGTACGGAGGAGCATACTCCCAACGGTCATATTTGCTTTTGAAAGTCCCGGGGCCGGACACAACGCTTACTTCCAACTCTCTGCTGCTCCTATATATCACTCACTCTGTTACTCTCCTTCCATCACTCATAATCTCATCGCTTATACATACATACATAATCGCTGTTTTACACTTCCTTCAATCTTCTGAAATTTTCTAAACAAAATGTATCGGTTGATCGTCGTTGCTTTGTTGTCGGTGTTGTGCGCCTCGGTTCCCGGAGGAGGAGCACAGAACACCAATGCGCCTTCTCAAGCACCGGCAACTAGCCCGTCTGCGTCGCCGTCGAAGCCTCTTTCGCCGGCATCTGCTCCGCTAAGCCCTCACGCATCGCCTTCCAAGTCTCCGGTCACTTCGCCTTCTCCCAAGGCCAGCCCGGCTGCATCGCCGGTACAATCTCCGGCGCCCACTCCGTCGTCCAAAGGTTCCGCTCCTGTCTCATCTCCAGCCTCCTCCCCTCCTCCGATGAGCTCACCGGCACTGTCTCCTTCGGCAGCCGCCCCAGCGACTTCCCCTGTTGCCGCAGATGTTCCGGCTGCTGCCGTTACGCCATCTGCATCCGCAAGTATTCCTTCGAGTTCGGCGACACCGTCGGAGGCACCGACAGTGTTCCCGGAGGGCAATAGCCCTGGTCTGGCCCCAACTGCCTCGTCTCCGGAGACAGCTCAGGGTCCGGTTGCTGATGGATCCGGGTCAAACACGCTATACGGGTTCCGGATCGCTGCAACCGGGCTTGCTTTATGGGCGGCGGCTTTGGCCATTTGGATTTAGGCTTGATTGCCACTCAAAATGTACTACTAGTTGCGTCATTCTTTTCATTCATTGTTACTACCCTACCATTAATGGCATTTGCAATTGAGATTATTATTATTGTTTCAATTAACCCATGAGACAAATTTTCTTCTACTTTAATCATTTTAAATTTAACTTCATAAACACTGTAATTCTTATACTGAAAGATACAAGGGGGAGGCCAATGATGACAAGCCTGCCATAAGTTATTCTCAAATTAAAAAGACAAAATCTGCTATAAAAAATAATAATTAACAAATCAGAGGGGAGGGGGTTTATCACTACAGAGTTATATCCATATGCTTCTGGTGAACTAACTCTACTCCGTCAGGGGATGAATTTTACTAAGATTTGGCTGGTTCAGATCTCGCTTGTTGAGATAAAGGTAGCTTATTGGATCATTGAAGAATGAGGTTATTGGCACGGGAACAAAACCCCTGTATTTCCCCACTTCTTTGGCCAACCATAAATCATTGATGTACTTGAAAAAACTATGTTTTTGAATGAAAGGCTGGGCTGCATATTCTTCGAATGGCATCCACTGCACGTAAAGGGAGTAGTAATGTATGTTTAAGTTTTGGTATATGACTCAAAAGATCTGATATAAAATCTTATCAAAACTTTACTTAGTCATGAAGAAGAAGTAGCTGGATACCTGGGCTGCCTCGATTTCAAGGTCTTGCTTCTCAATGGCAAATGAGAAGGGACGTAGCACACAGACGAAGAACAAATCTGATTTCTCGAAGAATGACTTGTGTGTTTGGCTGTCAATTCAGAAGTAACATAAGATTCCAGTGATTATGTGGATCACAGTTTGTAAAACAGTGACATCTTTCTTTATCTTTTAATTTTGTTTTATTTTTACTAAAAACCTTGTTGCCCGGCTGGCTATCAGAATAAATCCTATCTGAAAAGGACATATAAAGAGAAAAAGACTTTTAGCCACCAGGTTCTCTGAATCTAATCTCATAAACTTTCAGGTTGCTATTTTAAAGAAAAATGGTTGGCATCTACCCTTACGTGTTTCCACACACATCCGGTTAAGGCTATACCTACTACGGTGGATCTCTAGTTACTATTTCAAAGAGAAAGCAAAATGCTATTTGACTAGTTAAGGCTACCCACTTCTGTGGATCTCTAGTTACTATCAAAGAGAGGCAAAAAAACACGCTACTCCCTGTCACAAAACATTGAGTCAATACTTCAAGAATTACTCTAGAGTATACAGATAAAGATTCGCTCTTGTTGTACCTGAAAGCTAGTAGTTCCACAAATTCTGTATCAATCTGAAACAAATTGCAACAACCAGCAGGAGAATCAATTAGAGTTCTGCTTAGCATGGAAGATTGCAAAACTTTTTTATGGATTAAGTTCAGTTGCGTATATACTTACTCCTGTCTCTTCTTTTACTTCTCTAATTGCACCCTCAAAAATATCCTCACCCTGCAGATTCAAAAGCTTGCTTTATTTGGGTTAAAAAGGTTGAGGGCAGATGATTAAGCTTTTGTTGGTATATTTACCTCTTCAACAACTCCAGTAGGGATCTTCCAGATGCCAGTTCCCTTGAAATTGCCACTGTTTTCTTGTACAACCAGCAGCTAAAAGAAAGACATGACAAAAGATCAGAACCACAAAAACACACTAATACTGAGCAGTGATCAATCCAACAAAATTAATTTTTTTTTTCTCACCAACTGTTATCAATCCAGTATAATGATATCGGTGGTAATATATCTTAAGCATTAAATATACTTATATACTTCTCTATTTTTACTATATACTATAAAAGATCAGGCTAGCCATAGATACTTAATACTTGCAACAACTAAAGGAGGAATCAAATCACCTCTCTATGTTCATTCATGACAATAGCACCAATACCCACTCGATGTGTGGCATTTGCAGGGATGGTATCAGGTGTTTTAGGAATCCAATATACAAGCATCAGGTAAGAAGGCTCAGCATGGTGAAACCAAAAACCTTCCTGTAATCAAGGTCAGACATCAAATTAATATTCTAGATAAAGTTAAAGCACATTAAACGACATGTAGAGCACCAATTACAGCATGACACTAGTGGAGATCCTGAAACATGGAGTATACACCTTATTTGCAGAAAAATTGTCAACAGTTGTCAAAAGTGGAGTCAAACAAAATTGGAAATTGGACTTCATTCCAGCAACTATGTAGTAGCAATTTCATGAATTTCAGTTTTCTTCCATAAATGAATGTTCATTGTTCTGGAGGTCACATAAAACACCACTTGGATTCAAAAATCCACAAACTACCAAGGATTGCAAGGAATTTACCTTAACTGCGGTATCAATCAGATTTGCAAGTCCAATTGGGACCTTGATCCATACACCCCTCTTGCCCTGCACATTATATCTCTAAGATTATGATTCCGGGGTAAAAGCAAGGTTATTTGAACAGATATGATGAATTTGCAGCAATAGAAATAAAGAACTTCACATGCAAGTTCTTACAAGTTTTTGAAAAATTTCTCGTTTTCCTTTTCCATTCTATATGCTGCAATAGCTAATGCATCTTAGTCTAGAAAAGCCTAAGAAAATGAGCAATACCTGCAGCCTCCATTGGACTAGCGAAGCTCGAAGCATGGAGTAAAAGACATTTGAATCCATAGGCTCCTGAAGTTCGACTATGACTCCTCCATGCTCATCATTCCTAGCTGGAAGCAACTGAACCTTCTTCAGACCGTTTTTACCGAACATTTGCTCCATCAAATCCAAACTTAACCTGTACAGAGCACAGCCATACATGATACGCGAGCTCTCATGTCACAATCCAAACCCGCAATTCTCCAAAATAAACGTTAAAATCGAAGCCAATTTTCCACGAAAATCCTCAGGAAAAATAATGAAGATTACCTTGAAACAGAGCAAAACGAATTGAACTCCGAAGAAACGATGAATCAGTTAGGGTTTCAACGCGGAGTAAAAAACTAAAAATCCGTTCTGAGGCACACACTGAAGCTCGTTGAGTGAAATGCTTGCTGTAACGAACAAACCGAAAGGCGAAGGATTTTTATAGAGAACCGGGGGGTGTGCGCGGTGAAACTAAAGTGCGCCGAGTGCTTAAACGAGGGTCCCACCACTGAATTGATCGGCCAGCCATTCATTCACGTCCTTAGCCGGTGACGTCATCGTGGGTCCCGGTTCACTTAAGCCGCCTGCGTAAAATTTGGTTACGTGTTGGTGGTGAGGGGCTTTTGGACTTGAGTGACGGGCCTACTTGACTGGGCCCCGCGTTTTTTTCGGACCTACTTGACTGGGCCCCGCATTTTTCGACTGTGAAAACAGTTGCTTTTCATTTTCAATCATAAACGACTTGTAGACCAAACAAAAACGATGAAACGACTTTCAACGGTCCCACCAATTAAACTACGGCTCGGTCGCTCGGAGCACTATTTTGTTTTGATAAAATGTTGAATGCTACAGTATTATTTTATTTGCAAGTGTATTGGCAAATTATTCTGTGGACCTAGTTTTAAAAATACACAGTTTTTATATTAAATATTCACAATTTTTATATATTAAATGTCTACAATTTATATATTGAATATTCACAATCTGAATTGTGAACCTTCAGTATTTAAATTGTAAACATTCAATATATAAATTAGGGAAAATGGTCAAATAGGTCCTCAAACTTTAACTTAAAAGTTAATTAGGTCCTTAAACTTTTTAAAGGTGCAATTACACCCATTAACAATTCATTTAGGTGCAATGAAGCCCAAAAATAAGATAATGACATGCTATCACAGGTCATTAAAGTTTAGGCCACCTTCCGGTGCGATATTTCCAGCAAAAAAGTGACTGGCAGCGACCGTTAGTCGGTCGCCGGTCACTTTTTTTTTTGTCGGAAATTTCGCCGATCACTTTTTTTTTTTGCCGGAAGGTGGCCTGAACCCTAATGACATGTGATACCAGGTCATTAACTTTTTTTGGACTTCATTGTACATAAATGAATTGTTGATGGGCGTAATTGCATCTTTAAAAAGTTTAGGGGTCTAATTGTCTTTTAAGCTAAAGTTCGAGGACCTATTTGACTCTTTTCCCTATAAATTATGTATTTGACTTGGATCCATCTTGCAAGGTGGACCCGGATCCATAGCATAACTATTGAAGTGTATTGTACTGATACCATCCTCTAAAAAAAAAAAAAAATCAATCATTATTATGTGGACAATGGTCCATACAATAATTTGCCTAAAAAAATTTCCTCTAATCTTTTATGCCTCATATGATACTTTCTAATTAAATAACTAACATTCTTTTGAATTAATGGTAGGTTATTTAATTCATTGGTATCCAATAATTATAAACCATAAAATCTTAAGAGGAAAATTTTGGGATAAATTAGTATTTCCATTCCATTTTAAATATATCTTTATTTGTTTTATTCAAAGTTAATTCAATTTTTTGTCCTAGATTTGTAGGTATCAGTTTACTTTTTTTTTTTTTTAATATCCTTTTTTTGGTCATAATATTATTGTGGCATGGCCATTTTTGTCATTTAGCAACGAAATCGTTTAAATAGCGTTAAATACAATGACATTTTGGTCTATTCAGTTCTAAATGTTATTTTTTTTTTTTGTTCTAGATTTATATGTATTATTTCATTTTTAGTCTTCTTTTTTTTTTTTTAAACATTCATTTTTGTCCAAATATTATTGTGGCGTGATCATTTTTTGTCTCCCGTCAATAAATATGTTTAAATGACATTCAAAATGGCGTTATTAACTACTCAAAATATTCATTTTTTCTTCTTGATAATAGGATCACAAGTCTTGTGAATTTTTATGAAGTAGACTTATGCACTAGACTTATAGTTTGTCATGAAGTAGAGTTGTACTTTGTTCAATTGCACTTATTTTTTTTTGATTTTGTAGTAGGCTTATGTATTGATAACAATTTTATTATCAATAAGAAAAAAAATGATAGTTTTGATTGGTTAATGTTGTCGTTTTTAATGTCATTTAAACATATTTGTTGACGGATGACAAAAAACGATCATGCCACAATAATGCTAGGACCAGCGGGGATGATTTTTTTTATTATTATTATTACTATTAAAAAAAAAGACTAAAAGTAAAATGACACATATAAATTTAGGACCAAAAAAAAAAATGACTTAACACTTAGAACTGAATAACTATACCAAAATACTATTAGATTTAACATAATTTAAATGGTTTTGTTGACATATGACAAAAAATAATCATGCCACAATAATACTATAACCAAATAAGAATGTTTTGAAAAAAAAAAGACTGAAAATAAACTAACATTAATAAATTTAAGACCAAAAATAGAATAACATCTCTTTATTCATGCAATGAATCTATTCATCAACAAAAAAAAAAAAAAAAGGTAATCATTTGCTTTCTCTAATCAGATTAAAACATGTGCCCCAAGAGATCATTAATTAATAAATATGTTTATTCAATTTGTACTATTTAAGTGGAATAAGTCTCTCTCACGAAAGAGTGGAATAATTTCTTTCATTCATTTATATCAGAGATCATTGATATGTGTTTAAACTATGCATTTGCAAGTTGCAATTAACATAATTTTAAATTTTTGTATTTTTCACTGGAGTTGCAATACATGATTAATCGTTTTGATTAATAATTGTCTACTTTTATATATATAGTTTTAAATTGTATTATAATTTTAAATTCAATTTGAACAAAAAAAAAATCAATTAAGAGCCATAGTCATTCAATTTCTAATTGTTACATTGAATTTAAAATTATAATAGTCTGTTGTTCTTCAAGGCGAATGCTCAGGAGGCGGATGTGATAAAGGAGTGCCTGAAACGTTATGAGGAGCTATCTGGGCAAAAGGTAAATTATCATAAACCCAATATCTGTTTCAGTAAAAATACCACAAAGGACGACAGGGAAGTGGTGGCGGAGTGTTTGCAGGTAGATCAGGAGCCTGATTTTGGGAAGTACCTGGGGCTACCCTCTTTTATTGGGAGGAATAGGAGAATGATTTTCTCCTATATTGAGGATAAGATTAAACAGAGGATTGGGTCGTGGAACAAGAAACTGCTTACACAGGCAGGAGGTGCTATTGAAAAGTGTGGCGCAATCAATGCCAACCTTTACGATGAGTGTTTTCTTGTTGCATGATACAGTTTGTTTATCGATTAAAAGGACCATGAACAGGTATTGGTGGGGGAATAGTGGAGAAAGGGAGATTCATTGGAGGGTCTGGGATAAGTTATGTGTCCCTAAGAAGTTTGGTGGCCTGGGTTTTAAGGATCTTAAAAGTTTTAATTTGACAATGCTAGGAAAACAGGCATGGCGTTTTCTCACAAACCTCAGTTCCCTAGTTGCAAAAGTTTATAAGGCATGGTACTTTCCTGTTACATCGTTTGTTGATGTCAAGATTGGCAATTGCCCAAGTTATACCTGGAGGAGTATTATGGTTGCACATGATATGGTGGTTGCAGGGGTACGTAGGAGGATTGGGGATGAAAAACAACTTTGATCTGGGGATACCCGTGGTTACCTGATGACCCATGTCCTCTCGTTCAAACATATATGCCTGAGGAACTCAGACATGCCAAAGTTGCAGGTTTAATTGGTGAACAGACTAATATGTGGGATCCCCATATCTTGTCAGATTTATTTAATACTGAAGATGTCAATCGTATACTCAGGATCACTGTAAGCCCTGGATATGATGACTCATGGTATTGGCCTGGGGACCCAAGTGGAATTTATACAGTAAAGAATGCCTATAGAAATATTGTGGGTAATTATGAGCATATACCAGGAGAGTTTGATGGATGGATTAATATGTGGAAAATGAAGGTGCCCCCAAAATGAAAGACTTTTTTTGTAGCAATCGATATGCAATATCCTCCCTACCACTACTAATTTAATTATGAAGATGGTGGATGTTGATCTAACATGCCAGATGTGTGGTTTAATGCAGGAGAATATTATGCATGATCTAGTTAATTGTGACTATTCTAAAATTATTTGGAATATTTCAGGATTGCCTGTCACAAATATTGTTACGGATTCTTTCTCTGCCTGGCTAACGGCTGCACTTGCAATTTTGACAAACGGACAGAGGGGGTGTCTTGGTGGCGGTTCTATACCATTTATGGTCGAGCCGAAATTCGGCCGTGTGGGAAAAATCACTCCCCCACCTCGCCGGCTTATGGATAAGGACAGCCGCAGCCATCGCCTCGTACCGTCAAGCGAACCAGCGCCCTCCACCCCCTCCGCCCTTGGTGCCACACGAACCGGAAGGAGGAGCCCAAGTCAGGCCAAGGTGCTATGTAGATGCTGGCTACCGGCATGCAACGGGGGAGGCAACCTATGGTATGGTACTCCTCATGCCGGCCGAGACCTTTATGTCGGCACAGAATGGAAGATTGTCAACTTGTGTCTTGCCTTTTATGGCTCAAGCCTTAGCTTGTAAGGAGGCTTTATCCTGGTTGTCCGAGAGGAATGTTGTGGATGTGGACATACTAACCGATTGCCTACAGCTCTAAAATGTCATGCGCCAGGAATCAACGACTATAATGTCTTATGTTGGGGTCACGGTAGATCAATGCAGGAGGATGGTGGCTTCGTTTACTTATTGATCATTAAGTTATATTTCTAGACAACTTAATTTATCTGCACATGTTTTAGCTTCGTTAGCTTTTACTCAGGACCAGTTTACGTTATGGGATGCAATCCCTCCTGACTCTATTGCAGCTTTGCTCCATTAATACAATCATTATTGGTTGGCTTTCAAAAAAAATATATATTATATTTCATTATTTGGTTCACTTCAAGAATAAACTTCATGAATTGTATTACAGTGATTGGTTGGTTTAATGAATAAAAATGAAATAAGTATTCAAATTACATAAATATCTTTTATACTAAATTAAATAAAATATTAAAAAAAAAAAAAAAAAAAAAAAAAAAACCCACCCCTTTCCTTCACGTCTTCAACTTGGAGATGAAGAGCTTCTTTTTACAAAAT